GACCTTCGGGTTCGACCTAACGGAATGTGAACTCTTTTGGGTTCTTTATAACGAAATGTAAAATCCTCCGGGAATTCAAAATGAGAAATGATTGGTGTGTCGCTTGGTCACCGATATACTCCATAAGAGAATTGTGGTATGAAGTGTTTAATTTATTGTTATATAATTGCGTATGGGAACTGGATGTATCTCACTGGGTGTTTTCAAAATGCTCACTCTTACAATTTTTACAGACTAGTTCGGATCGATTGGAGCTCAGGCTGGATGGTGATGCGGACTGCCAGAGGATTTCACCCAACGAGAATATTAAGTTTTATCGCTGTTTAAATTTATTAGTTGTTTGAGAATGCTTAAATTGTTTTAAAGACATAATTTATGATTCTAATTTAAATTTATGAATATTTGTTTATTTAGAAAAATAAAATTTTAATGTTCCGCATTTTAAGTACATAAAATTATGTTTGATAACACCTCAAGATGTATGAAATTTTGCGGCGTTACACCTCTCACGTGCCTATTTTCCTCAAAATTGATGAAAAACTTTTCCCGCCATTTTGGTGGAAAAAGCTTTTCTACGTGCTGCTGCCTTTTTTTTTTGTAATGAAAACAAATTTTATAACCAGTTGTAAAAACAAATTTCACTTTAATGGACAATTTTTATGTAAAATAAAGTTAAACGAACACTAAACTTTGATGAGAAAAATGATTTTTTTAGGGAAAAAAATTTTTTTGCTTTTTTTTTTCTTTTTGGCAATGAAAACAAATTTTATAACTAATTGTGAAAAAAATTATCATTGAACGCAAAAAGATCCAAAATTTAAAATTTTCCGGGTGGAAAATTATACCAATCAAACACACTTAATTAACAATTCCTTGCAAAACAATTTCTAGACAATTACTTTCTCTGAAATTCATTTTCTTTCCACCCATTTTCCACCCTTGCAATCAAACGGAATATCTTATAGGCGTTTCAATTAATTTTTACTTCACAGAATACTACAAATCCGAAACCTATTCATTGACATTAGCAACCTCCATTCTGTTTATATCTAGAGATGTAAAAAGGATTGTGCGGGTCCCCTATGCCAAGGGCTCGGGTACCGGGCCCGCCTGAGCAGACAGCAAAATGGAATCACACCACAACTTATGTATCTATCTATTGAATCACAACAAAAAATGCAAGGAAAGCAGAAATCATATTTTCTGCAGTACAAAATGTAAAGGTCCACACAAGTTTTGTTGATAGTTCAAGCAGTGAAACACCTCATGAATTAAAGAAAACACTAGCAGGAACATTCTTTTTTAAAATTTAATAGATTTAACTGTCCCGGCATAAACTTGAGTAGGAAGCATTAAAGTAACCTGAGGGACGTTCCCTTATCTGAGAGTCATCAAGAGCAGCAGTCGAAGTGATTCAACATGGTGTAGAAGTACAAAAATGTTTGCATTTATTCTTACTCGGGTCTTCCTTTCCGTTCCCATAGTTATTCATTGACCATTGTTATTAGGTACCTTACGTCTTTTTGCTGTATCTCGTAGCTATCTAGCAGATCTTTCTATAGTTTCATGGCAATCTAGTCCAGAACTTTCTCTCCTGTGGAGAAGAAGTTCCACACCAATGTGCCTATAATGTACAGTACAACAGCCACTTTGAACACATCATCCCATGAACCTGAAAAAATGTAATTCAAGAATCAATAGAATTGAGAAACGGGAGTCACTTTTGATTACAACGCAGAAAACAAGAATGCACAAAAATGAAGCATGCGCTTTGATTTTACCCTTTTGGAGTATGTATCCAGTGGCAGCGGTACCAAATACACCAGCCAGCACGCCGGCTGTATTAGATAACCCCAACAGTACTCCCTGCAATATAGAAGTATTATTTCAACTTAGAAGGGTAAAGAGCATTTTTTTCAACTTGGAAGGGTGAAGAGCAAACACAGTATGCTGTTTCAAGCATGATAAGTTGGAAACAGTCGGCTACTTATTGGAAGAGACAACCAAAAACTGAAAAATCTACGAAATCCCTAGTGATACAATTTATGAAACCAAAATTGACATGGTAGGCAAAAGACAAATTAGGGACCAGAGACGTTATTTATATTTTCTCATATAGGAAAACTCAACTGTGTCTTGTAAGCCCCTGTTTGACAGCCTTTTTAAAGAGTTTTTGGAGTTTTGAATAGTGATTTTTTGGACAATTTGTGGTTAAAAAGTATGGAAAATTTTTGGATTTACATGCAAAATATTTTATTGTGTGAATATGTGGTTGAAAATGAGTACGAGAAAAAATGAGTTTTGAAAAAAAAATAATTCTAGTTGTACATCAAAAAATGTACATAAGGGTGTACACCCACCTCACATGGGGTAGGACCCACTTGTGTAAAATATTTTTTTATTCAAGTGGGCTCCCACCCTCATGTGAGGGGGATGTACACCTCGATGTATATGATGATGTACCACTAGCAAAATCGTTGAAAAAAAGGGTATCAAACAGGGGCTAAGTTTAACTCTTTAAATAAAGTATGAGATCTCTTTTCTGCTGAGATGGATACAGATTGAAACCAGGGGCGGAAATTCTATATATTATAGACCTATTTTCTAGCATGGAAAATGAGAAATAACTCACAGCATAACGAGGCCCAATATCTTGGTGATTGGAGTACAGTCCAGACTGTGAGAATGCATCGGATCCCTTTGGAAGAAGCGCACACAACTTATATTTAGTTATGCGATTCAAAGATAATAGTCAAATTATGTGACCAAAACAGCTCAAACCTGACTGCATGCCATGCATAACACAGCTAAAGCAGGTGTTTTCACATGCTTAAGCTGTGTTAGAAAGAAGGCGGGGCCTAAAAACCCTATTGACTGCATTATCTGTAACAGTAACAGTGGAGAATCATAATGAGAACGGGGAAATGATATACAAATATTTGACCATGAAATATCAGACATAATACTGTCTACCTAAGTTTTATTTTTGAAAAAAAAAAAAAAATCAGGCGGGGAGAGGCTAGTGAATATATTGATAGCACGAGTTAAAACCATTAAATGCTGGCTTGCTAATTCAGAAATTCTAGAAAATTTAAATGCTTGCCTTACGAACTGATGTAATCGAAAGACCTTTGCTGACAAGGGTGTCTGCAATCCAACCACCTATATTAGCGAACACGGCCATGGTAAGCCATGGAAGCACACAGAGCAGTCCGGATTCAGTGAGGTTGAACTTCAACACCTAATCATCACAATAAATGAAAAATAATTAGTTTTCTTGTTCGATTAGCTTAGTTTTTGAATCCAGAATTTCATCCACTGGAACATTTCCACCATTATGTCTCTTGATATCATGTAATTTGGACTTTGGAGCTCTAATAGAAAAAAACTAGTTCAATGTATACCCCTAGAAGAGATAACAAGTGAAGATGCTGGAGAAGTTGATCAACATATAAATTTTAGCATACGGCATATAAATGAGGGAACCTTCTGTAACAAAGATTTTGTGCTCAAATTTGACAAATGGAAACTCCATGGTAGTTATGAAATATAATAAGATAGAAAGGTAACAAAAAATAACTTCTTGGTTCTAATTCTGAAGTCCAGAATGTCCACATTGACATAAAATTTAGGAATGCGAGAAAAGAACGGTCCAAAGATCCTTTTATGGAACCTCTCACTTTGCTAAAGTAGTCATATAATGCACTCCCTTGTTGTCATGTTTTCTCTTTAGTTGTACTGAAAGCTTGACTTTGTAGACAGTCACCATTGGGTATGCACTGGATAATTGGCTCATAATTTAACACGGAGAAATTTGACATAAGGAATTGAATAATCTCGTAGTTAGTCTTAACAGACACTGACAAAAAAAGTATTTCCCCCCACTAGAACATTAATGATGCTAGTTAAATATTATTTACTTCAGCATTTAGACTACCAGTGTTATAATATCAAAATGGACAAAAAAGTTCACCAAAACAGATTATCTCTACCAGTTGCAGATCATTCAATAGCTCAGCATACCTGGTTATAGTAAGTAGGCATCCATGTCAATAGAATAAATGTACCCCAATTATGACAGAAATGGGAGACGATGAGAGCCCAGACAGGTGCCTTGGATAAAATTCTTTTCCATGGAATTTCAGAGACCGGTTCCTTTGGTATGCTGCCTCCCAATATCAGTTTCTTTTCCTCTGCACTCAGTTCTGGATCTTTTTCTGGTGAACTGTGTGCCTACAAATAAAAATTTAGGATTTCAAAAGTATTTTGTTACACTTCCAATCCTATATGAACATATAGACTTCTTAAACTGTGTTCAACATTAAGGAGAGACGAATTATTTCAGGATTATTTACAGGTTCCGCCAACTGTTCAAGGATTCACGTATTCTAACCATTTAGAATGATTGGGAGCGCATGTTAGGTAATGTGCTGAATACATTAAAAACCTCCCCTCTAATATTAGCTCAAGAATTTTAATGATTTGGTCATTTAGTATAGCAGAAAAATATGATAAAAACCTCATTTTCTGGTTTTGGAAACAGAAGTGCTTCTTATCATGTAAACTAACCAACAAAAGAAGGCACTCACATTCTTCAACCACAGTGCAAACCAGATGCTTCCAAGGGAACCAAAAGCATAGAAAACAGATGGCCACCCGAATTTGTGGATCAATACAGGAGATACAGCCAAACCAGTCACTGAACCAAGATACATACCGCTGTATACTAGAGCAAGTGATCTGCTTCTCTCAGAGACAGGAATCCATTTAGATAACATATTATTCATAGCTGGCATAGCAACTCCCTAATTACAAAATAAACCTCATTAGAATGAAAAGCATGCACACACACAAGGATGCTTATATACTTGCATCATTATGTCCCTGTTTGACAACCATTATTGGGGGAAAATAGAGTTTTGAACAGTGATTTTTAGGAGAATGTGTGGTTAAAACAGGGGTTATATTTAAACACAATACATAAAATGAGGAATTTACAGGTTGAAATTGAAATCTATACGTAAAATCGTAATTTTAACACCTCAAAATATATGTACTATGGCATGCGAGTAAAATGCACTTAGCAAGAATTACATTCAATCAGACTACATTTGTACTTGATATACTACAAGAGCATAGATGAAGTAGTCCAAGACTGAACAATAAGAAATGTGCAGGACAGTTTCACGTCGCAATCAGGTATGATATCAATCGGACGAAGTCAGATGGATATAATGAAATGGTGGGAATTTAATCAGAGCTTTTAAGAAGAAGAAAGAGATACATAGTAAAATCAATCCATTAAAACTCCTTTCTTTAAAGGTCAATAATGCTTTCAAAACTGAAATTAAGTACAAATAAGTACTCGATTCTATGCTCACAAAGAATATCAAACATTAAGTAGAGAATCTTCAATAAAACCATAGGGAAGCATAAACACAGCCAACCTCGCCTATTCCCATTAAGGCACGCATGACAAGTAAGAACGGAAGCCCGATTCTGGCTGCAATGGGCGTCAAAACTGTTGCAACAGACCACCAAACAACTCCAAAACCAAGTACTAGCTTCCCACCAATTTTATCTGCCCATATGCCTCCAACAATCTACTTGACAGGAAAACACAAGCAAACTTGGTACAAGATGAATAATTGTCATAAAGTGACTCAACTGACAACTAAAGTCAACTTGTAATTACAAAAAGCATATAAATCAGATGCACAAAGACATGACAAAGCTAACAGGTTAATCCAGGGGAAGAGTGTAACCAACAAAAAAAAACATGAAAATTATAATACTGAGGGCTGCTTGAGATAATGAAAGAATAAAATCAATGTGCAGAACTGTACTGAATTATCCATCCACGTAAAAGTTTCAGGTTTCTAGGATAACCAAAAACAACAAACATAGCCTCAGATTTGGCTACATAAATCCTGCTTTGCACTCTGTTTGATTTATAGATATATCTACTAAAGAGTTCAATGAAATGAAATTTTAAGCAACCACATTAGGCCATGTAAACTTTGGTCTGCCTCTGTCTTCTCCATGAAATTTTAAGCAACCACATCTGGCCTTTGCATCAACTAGATATTAAGCATACTTTTCTTCATGGTGATCTTCAGGAGGAGGTGTATATGGAGCAACCTCCTGGTTTTGTTACTCAGGGGGAGTCTGAGCGAGTTTTTCGTCTTCGAAAATCTCTGTATGGTTTGAAACAGAGTCCTCGTGCCTGGTAAGGAAAATTTAGTCAGGCTGTTGAGAAGTTTGGTATGATGAAAAGCAAGTCTGATCATTTGTGTTCTATAAACAATCGACAGCTGGTATCATTCTTTTAGTTGTGTATGTGGATGACATTATCATTACTGGAAGTGATACTACAGGAATCTCGTCCCTTAAGTCATTCCTTCATACTCAGTTTCACACGAAGGACTTAGGGATGCTGAAGTATTTCTTGGGTGTTGAAGTCACAAGGAGTAAAAAGGGGATCTTCTTATCTCAGAGAAAATATGTCCTTGACTTGTTAACTGAAACAGGAAAATTGGGGGCGAAGCCTTGTAGTGCTCCAATGACTCCAAACATGCACCTTACAGACGATGGAGAACAAATTGAAGACCCTGAGAGATATAGAAGGTTGGTTGGAAAGCTAAATTATCTTACGGTGACTCGTCCAGATATTGCATATTCTGTCAGTGTTGTTAGTCAGTTTATGTCATCCCCCACTGTTCATCATTGGGCAGCGCTAGAACAGATTTTGTGCTACTTGAAAGGAGCACCAGGACGAGGTATCTTGTATGCAAATCATGGGCACACTCGTATTGAATGTTTTTCAGATGCAGATTGGGCAGGTTTCAAAGTGGATAGAAGATCCACATCAGGTTATTGTGTTTTTGTTGGAGGAAATTTGGTCTCATGGAGGAGTAAGAAGCAGAACGTTGTGTCCAGATCGAGTGCAGAGGCAGAGTATAGGGCTATGTCACAGTCTGTATGTGAGATAGTGTGGATATATCAGCTCTTGACTGAAATAGGTCTTAACATTTCAGTACCAGCAAAATTGTGGTGTGATAACCAAGCTGCCCTTCATATTGCATCTAATCCTGTGTTTCATGAGCGGACTAAGCATATTGAAATTGATTGTCATTTTATTCGCGAGAAAATTCAGCAAGGATTGATTTCTACAGGATATGTGAAGACTGGAGAACAATTAGGGGATATCTTCACGAAAGCTCTAAATGGGGTTCGGGTTGATTATTTTTGTAACAAGTTGGGCATAATTAATATCTATGCTCCAACTTGAGGGGGAGTGTTATAGATTGTAATCAATTAATTACCTTATTCTAGGATCCTAATTTATACACTTTCCTAAGATAGAATCCTAGACTGTGTATATATATGTGTATCACCGTTTCCAATTGTAATGAGAAAGAATATTTTTCACGATATTATTTTACAATTTTAAAAGTCAACAATTTATAATGTCAAAAATTGGAATTGTCTCTGCCAAGTTTTATAATTTATTGTAAGTAGCGTGAGTTATTGTTTTATTTAAGATAATATTAATTTGATATTTAATTCTAAATTTGTTTGATTCAATAATTCAAGTTACACTTATCTATTTTAAGTGATTTAAATATGTTAGAAAACTTAAAAGGCATTCACGATAAATATATTACAGACGAAGTATAAATGTTGAAAGCCGTAATTTGTTGTTTTGCTTTAATATTGTAGTTGTTTGCTTTAATTAGTATTTGGATTTGGATTTTATCATTTAATTAAATATTTGTATTGCAGTAATTTGTTGTTTTGCTTTAATATTGTAAATGTTAGCTTTATTTGAATCATTTTTTAGAAAACAAAATAATAATAATAAATTGTAAGACATATCCCTGTACCCTTATCCAAAATTCGGATTTTTTTTTAACCGTATCTCCGTATCTTCATTTTTAAAATGAGAATGATCCGACTCCTGGATATGTACCCATATCCAACACTTGCACCCGAGTTCGAGCAACATAACCTTTAAAAGTATTTAAGTGCTCTGCATACATCCATGTGTACCAATAAAAAAGAGGAAAACTAGAGTCTACTAAATGCATTCTCCTAGGGTATTCTTCCAACCAAAAAGGGTACAAATGCTATTATCTTATCACCAAATGGTTTTATAATTCAATAGATGTTACTTTCTTTGAAACATCCATATTATTCCAAAACTGCTATTCAGTTGAAGAATTCAGCTAAAGAATACCAACTTTGGGACAACACACCTATAGGGGGGATCCTCTCTCTCCTGATATTCCAACAAATCCCACATCTTCAGGTACCAATCCTAGCAATCATTCCAAATTCCTATCACAAATGACCCTCAAACAGAGCCACAAAATCATCCAAAGAGTCCTCCAAATGACCCCATTGAAATCCCAACACCTTTGCCAGAGCCCTCACATTGCACCAGTCCTAAACCGTGAAATTCGTATATGTTCTAGGAGAAGAAAAAATCAAGAGGAAATGGAGAACTGAACACAACTTGAGCAAGTCCAGGAATCCATTCCAATATCAAGACTTCCCAAAAATTCTCGAAGCAAAATCTCTAGTGATATCATGCACTAAACACCCTATTCATAATTTTATCTCATATAAAGTCTTGAAGTTACGGGCATAAGTAAGCAATCTTTAGCAGATACAGGTTCCCAACCTATACATGAAATCGTCAAAGTACCTTAATGGAAGGTAGCAATTCTAGAAGAGATCCGTGACTTAAAAAGAACAAACCCGGGAACTCACGAAATTGCCACTAGGAAAACAAGTTGTTTAGTGTAAGTAGATCTTTACTGTCAAGCACAAAGCAGATGTAAGTGTGGACAGATTTAAAGCTCGTCTTGTGGCGAAGGGATTCACCCAAGCATATGAGATTGACTACCAGAAAACATTTGCCCCTGCTGGAAGTACGTGTTCCATTTTTTGCATCAAATTTAGATTGGCACCTTTACCCATTAGATGTCAAAATTACATTCCTCAATGGCAATCTTGAGGAAGAAGTGTACATGGGCATCCCTCCTGGTTTTAAGTCTCATGCTACAGCTAACACGGTTTGCAAACTGAAGAAATCCTTGTATGGATTAAAGTCATCCCCACATGCTTGGTTCGATCGATTCTCTAAAGTTCTAAAAATTGTGGTTACACTCAATGCCAAGCATTCTTCCATAGATGAAATATCTATTTTGAATTTTGTATGAGATGACATTGTTTTGATAGGAAACTTTGCTAAAGAAATTATTAAACTCAAGGAACTTCTAGCTAAGGAATTCGAGATCAAAGACCTTGGAAATCTCAAATATTTCCTAGGAATAGAAGTGACAAACTTTTGACCGAATTATTTTCCCTTTAGGGATTCTTCACATTATAAAGGAAAAATATAACCTTATACAACTATGGTATCTATCTAAATATGGTAATTGACTAATTGTAATCAACCTAAATATACAATTATATATAGTTATGTTAAATCATAATCTTCTTCAATCTGCGTAATTTTTGTTAATCTCCATGATCTCGGTCGATCCCATTGACATCCCTCTCAAATTAATGCTGGATAATCAATAAACATCAATTTGATAATTGATGTACAAAATAATTCAAAGGCCAAGCTCCAATAGTTCTTGAAAGACACCAACAACAAAACCCTTAAACAGATTGCTTGAAAGATTTATATATTCTTGAGTGAACTCAAACTCCAAAAATCAAAGATAGATTAGTAATTTTGTTCTTGCTTAGATCCAAAAATCTTTTTTTTTTATGGTATTATCAAGAATTACACCCATACAAGTCCAAATCAGAAGCTTCTAGTTTGAAAACATATTCTCCTTTGGCATCACAAAACACCCATTTCCATAAACAAAAAGAGCCAGAAAAATCATATCCTATGGTAGGCCCATAACCAAGACAGCCCCCCACAAAAAAATCAAAAGGCCCAACTCCAAGTAAAAACTAGTCAGTTCCACAAAATCAGCTTTCTTCCACTTCTTGTATCTTTGACTTCAGAAAACCAGCTTTGAGAACATGTCCCCTTCTAGAATGCTCAATTCCTGATCTTGTACATGAAACTAAGATAAAATCCCTTTTTTGCTTAGTTGGTGAAGCTTTTGACATACTCTAAAATATGATTCCTGAGAAAGAATCAAAGTTCGACAAAAAACGGACGATGCTAACAGATGGTTCCAAAAACACTGAATGCTCACACTACACTTGATGCACCTAAGAGTCATACGCGTTGACAAAAATTCTGTCAACCATGGACGACAACAAGAGTCACACGTTGATGAAAATTCTGTCAACCATGGACCACCCAAGAAACTCACACCTCAAAGCTGAGTTATGACCAAAGAAAATCGAGGATTCAGTATAAATCCACCAGGCTCTGATACCATGATAAACTTTTGTCCGAATGATTTTCCCTTGAGGGATTCCTTACATTATATAGGAAAAATATTAGCTTACACAACTATGGTATCCATCGAAATAGGGTAACTCACTAATTGTAATCAACCTAAATATACAATTATATATAGTTATGTTAAATCATAATCTTTTTCAATCTTCGTAATCGTCGTTAATCTCCATGAGCTCGGTCAATCTCATTGACAAGAAGTAGCCAGATCAAAGAAAGGTATTTTTGTCTCTCAATGCAAATATGTCTTGGATCCTCTTAAAGAAACTGGAATTTTGGGGTGTCAGCCTTCTGAAATTCCTATAGACACAGCAGCAAAACTTAGAATTAAGGCACTGTACCTATACACAAAGGTCGTTATCAAAGACTAGTGGGAAAACTCATTTATTTGTCTCACGCCCGACCTGATATTGGTTTCTCTGTAAGTATTGTAAGTCAGTTTATGAATAGTCCTACTGAGGAGCACATGGAAGCTGTCTATTGTATACTTAGGTACCTAAGATGACACCTAGGAAAGGATTATATTTCAGGAAAAACTCCAACTGGAACATTGTAGTCTTCACAGATGTAGATTAGCAAGGTTCTATATTGGACCGATGTTCTACAACAGGGTATTACACCTTCATTTGGGAAAATCTTGTAACTTGGCATAGTAAAAAACAGTCAGTGGTTGTCCGAAGCAGTGTTGAATCTGAGTTTAGAGCAATGACTCATGGAATTTGTAAGGGAATTTGGTTAAGATGACTTCTCAAATAACTATGTATTACAACTAGACAAATTAGCATGTTCTGTGACAATCAAGCTACAATCAAAATTGTCAGTTCATCGCGATAGAACAAAACACGAGGAGATTGATCACCATTTTGTTAAAGAAAAATTAGACAGTGAAATTGTGAATCTGCTGTATACTCCAACTCATCTTCAGATTGCCGATGTCCTCACCAAGGCCCTATGAAGAATTGAGTCACAAGCTGGGAATGATTAATATCTATCTCCCTGCTTGAGGGAGAGTGTAGAATTTCTAGGATTTAGTTCTCGGAAATTAAGAAGTAATTGATGAGTTTTTATTCCAACTGTAAATACTTTGATTTAAGTAATCTATTACCTGTTATTTATGAATTAGTTTCCTTCTTTATTGTAACCAATTTAGGAATATATTTTTCGTGTATCCCGTGATTAGTGGAAGTGATTTCTGTCTTCACCACTACATCTACTGCTTGTATTATTCTTTTTGATTAACGAGAATTATTCAGTTTCTTTCAGAATTCTTCAAATATGTTACTGGGATTGCATTGCTTGAATATGTGCTTCAATTGGTCTATGAAATGTATGCCCCTATCATATAAGTTGCATTCCCTTAAATTCTAGGAGTCATCATTTAAAGATATTTTCATATGGCACTTGTACCAGTATATATTCCAAAGTTCTCTCGAATAGTAAATATATCCATAACAAGTATAACATTGGAGATTAAAGTGGAATTCATACAAAAGCTATAAAGGATATAGTTGAACAGAAGCTACATGCTTCTTAACAACTATGAATTTCTGTCCATTAAATAATTAGCATTAGATAAAAGATTTTACCGCCAGAGGCTTTGTCAAAGGATGCGTTAAGATGGGAATAAAATTATTCCTTTTCAAATGCTGCAATATAATGAGTAAAACCTGTGTTAGCAGATAACCCCAGAAGAATGAAGACTGAATTAGACCAACGGTAGCACTATTCCAGTTGAATTCCTTGGACATTGGAAGTATTGCTATGCTCATGTTCACCTACAAGCATAGATATGGACAAGTTAGAACCTATAATGCACCGACACGGACACGTTACTTTTCAAAAAAGTACCGACACGACACGACACGACACATCATCGACACGTTGATTACATTCTTTAAAAATTCTTCATTTATATAATATAAATTTAATTTTATACTTGTTATTAATTTTTCTTGTTAAAATCTTTTAAATATAATTTTTTAATCAAGCTGGAACGAGCAACTGACAATTGACTGCTGAATTTAAAGTAATCTTTTCGACGAGGATTATATCTATTAAAGTATAAATCTTCATAGAAACACATCAAGATTGATAAGCAAAATTAAACTTACACGGTCCATATTGCACAACAGAAATGAAGCAAAACAAAGCATCACTATCACCCATCGTTTTGGAAGCTGCTTCCACCAAGGTTGTGATTGCTCATTTCCTTCAAGTAAAACAGCTTCACTTGCCATCTCAGACGATCTAACCGACTCCGACTTAGTTCCTGTTATGTCATGCTCTTCAGATTTGAAGTCAGCTCTGGTCCTTGTTACTATTGTATGCTTGGACGAAAGGTGTTGCCTATCAATGAAGCCAAGTTTATCTAACTTCCTTGGTTGTATACTATTGTCATTGAAGCATGATGAAAAAGGGCTGTATTTACATATTCCTCTCATTCTTTGCCCATGATTGATGAAAATAAAGTTCTCATTCAATAGCTGGGACTCTGAGGGGAAAGCTTCAACATGAGATGGCGATTTTGATCTCAAAAATTTACTGTTTGACCAACCACCAGTGTGAAGAGATGAGTTATATGTGTATCCACATAATCCCCTTGGAAGATATAGCTTGCTGCAAAACATTTTCTTATTTACACATTGTGCAGCAGAAACACCCAACAGATCTCCTCTTTTATTTGTTGTAGCAGCTTCTCCATGACGTACTCTTCCTGTCAACATAAGCAAATATGAGATGCACATATTGTTGCAGCCTTAAAAGAGTGCAAGTTATGAAAAATGAAAGGATCAAATGCTTGAATTAGTCTCCTAAAATTTTGCAACATTCCGGACTTTCTAATGACCTATTAAGATTGCATTGAGTGGAACCATTGTACTCATTAATTGTCAAGCCGTCCTTTTGCATTCAATGGATGGTTTTGGATGTTCAAGATTTTCAGAAAAGCGAGAGAGAGAGAGAGAGAGAGAGAGAGAGAGAGAAACAAGAAAAGATAAAGAATCTCTAATCTTTCATGGAAATAACATTTTCACGAGAAAAGCAAGCACACGGTGAAGTGTGCACTCCAATTTAGTTGTAATATAGGTTAAAGAACCGATCAGATCATCATAAAGCATTAAGCATGAATTTACATGTATATTTTTATAGCCATAATTCTAAATTTCTCTTGAAGCAAATGTAACCAAGTTCCTTTAGAGTCACTAAAAAACAAGAGAATATTTTTTTCCCGATTCTGGAAATAACTGATAATCTGGATTGACATTCTTGCATTATTAAACTAAAATTACATCTAATCTAAAAGAACATTGCCCAAAATTTTGTGGCTTACCAGCTTCAATCTTGAACAGACCCAAAAGTACACAAAACGAGGAACAAAAGCCACGACCACAACAAAAATAATTTTAAAGTTACAGGTGCATTATCGAAAGAGAAATGGAGAAAAGAATATTTAACCCACTTACCCAAAGACATTTCCTAATACGTATGCTAAGATATGAAAAAATTTAGACAATCAGAGCATTCCATAAGTTATAATTATGCAAGGTGGAGAGCGACGTATGAACTCTGAAACCTTATACTGCAGTGCTAAATGTTAACTTCAAATTCCTTACCAAAAACACCCCAGGCCTTCAAGGGGAGAGAGAGAGAGAGAGAGGGAAAAAAAAAGTACATAAAATTTTTGCATTATCTAACAAAATAGTCGGCACTAATTTTTTACTTCAGAAAGTGTAGAAGAAATGCTGTATAAATTAATGTGCCAAATTTACAAAAATTATAAAATCACTTTCAACTGCTTATCATCAGAGACAAAAACTGAAGCTCAACTTCTTGTACAATAACATCCAAGTTCTGATCTAGATAACCAAAATTTACAATTACATGCATGCTCCGCCCCCAACATGTACAATATAAACAGTTCACACAACCACCCGCCCTGTAAATTCAAATGAATAGTATCATAATAGCTGGTATATATTTACCGGGACCGATGAAAGATTCGAAATTCCGGTGCCAAACGACTGCGCCGATTGCCATTGTCACCGGAAATTCCGAGGCAGCACTCTATAATTGATTTACTCCAGCTCTACAAAAGAAAATTTATACTTGGAAGAATTTGCATCCCTTCAATTTTCTCTCACTAGAGAGTGGTGTTTCTCTTTCTAAACTGGATAATAACAGTAGAGTGTTGTTCTTCATACGAAATTCAGCTGATACTAATATTTTTATTTTCATTTTTTTGTATGAAAAGCGGGAAATTGTAAATAGGGGGTTGAGAGATTGACACGTCCATATAATCTCGTGAGGAGTTATAAGTACAATATTAGCCCTAAATCCTTGTTTAATTTACAGTCAAAATTTTAAGAGGACGCAGAATGAAACTGTGCCCGCGTTTGTATACCATTATTTCAAAAAAAAATTGCTAAAGTAAAGATTCTCTACCACACATTCATCCAATAAAATATTCTACACACAAATCAATAAATTTACTTTACTTTTCAACCACACATTCTCCAAAATAAATTATTCATTAAATTATTTTTCATCCAATAATGGGAGATAAACACACCCCGTGGAGTCTAAACGAGGGTAGTTTTGTAAATTGGGCAGAATACGGTGGGCCGTCATTTTACGAAAAAGCCCCTAACCGGATTGCAGGAGAGGACGCAAAAGGACTCCCAAAAGTGGAACAAGTGATACGTTCCTTTCATGGGTCTGAATAATTCCAACTGTTGGATTGAAGTCTAACGTGGCGTCCAATGAGACACGTTGACATCTGCAACATGATATGGGCCCACTATTTGTTTATAGCCTTGTTTGGCCCTTTAAAATGAGATTTTTTGAAAATAATGTATTTTTAAAAAAAAGGAAGAGTTTTTTATTTACGTGTAATATTATTTTACTGGTTAATGTATAGTTAAAAAAAAAAATGTATTAAAATTTTAATGGAGACCAAGTAAGGGCTAATTTGGTTGCTTTTTCTAAAAAATATTAATAGGAAATTGTTTGAAATTGAGGTCTTCTAAAAAACATTTTTTTTTTCAAACTCAATTACAACTAAATACTAATCTAATAAAATAAGTTTACACCTAAATTCAATTTTTTTTTAATTTTACTTTTTTTAATGGCACATTCTTGAAAAAATCGTTATTATGAAATTTATTTTTACCAAAATAAAAAATAAAAAATGGGGCTCAAACATCTTAGAAATGTGATTTTATCTAAACATGGATCTCTTCTAGATACTAGAAATGGGATTTTTGTTTTTCAAACAGAAAAAAAAATGTATTAGATAGATGATAGAAGTGCAAAAGGTAAAGAATTTGTACCGAATTTTTCAAAATTTTGGAAATGAAGCTCCAATTTCTTTTAGTTAAAAATCAAATTTTTAGTAGATTTTGAAAAAAAAAATAATAAAATATGAAGTTAAAAAACTAAGGTCTCATAAAATATATTGTTAAGTGCTTGTTTGAGGCCGATTTTTTTGTTCATAATGCACTTTTGAATAGTATTTTGTTAGAAAATATGTGATTGAAAAATAAGAAAAAGTTTTATAGTTATGTCTAATTTATTATATTGAAGAATATGTGATTGAAAATAAGAGAGAGAAGAATGTATTTTAGAAATAATGGATACCAAACAAGGGCTAATATCAAGGGTGGAGCTAGCCCATTTAATTTTTTTTTCTTTAAATTTTTTTCTCTGTGTGAATTTTTTTAGGGGCACATACACAAATACCCTACATTTAGAATAGTTTTGATAAAGAAATGATAAAATTGGATTAAATAGTAAAGAATTAAAATTGAACCTAAAATATACGCTCAAACCTAAAGCACGACACGACTTGTCAAAAATCAGCCTCCAATCTCAAAAATTGAAAGGAAAAGAGGAATTTTTTCACAAATCAAGCATAAACAAGATAAAGTTTGCTTCAACATTCATTCTTCAAAATTTTCTTCCCCAAATCTAGAAATACACAAACAAAATTACAAGTTTTTTATGTTTTGGACTCTTTCTTTAAATGGGTTTGGTTTGAACCTTATAATGTAAATAATTGATATTTATGAAATTTCTTTTTTGATGATTTTGCTATTGTGATTGGACAAATGTTTGAAAATAACATTGTTCAATTTGAGAGGAAATGAATTATGTTAAAACACATGAAAAATTAGCTTTAAATCAATTAAAATGATGCATGCAATGTGTTTGACAAAAGCTAAATGTGAAAAAGTGATATTATGTTACTTTTCTCAAAAACGTCATATTATCTAATTGGAGCAATTAACTAGATGTATACGCCTTCGATTTTGGAAATTTTAACATACGAATTCAAATCTTGTTTTATATTAATATATATGAAAAAGAAAACTTTGAATCAATTAAATTGATACATGCAATGTGTTTGCTCAAAAGGAAAATATGAAAAAGTGACATTCTATTACTTTTCTAAAAAAAAAGTCATAATGTCTTATTAGACCAATTAACTACATGCATGCGTATGCGTTTTTGGAAATTTGAACATATAAATTCAAACCTAGTTTTATGTTAATACACATGAAAAAAGAAAATTCTGAATCAATTAGATTGATGTATGCATGCAAAGTGTTTGCTCAAAAGGAAAATATGTTCTCTTTACCGTTTTCAAGCCCTTTTCTCTTTATCGTTTTCAAGCTGTTTTCTGTTTTCGATTTTTCAAAACTCTTTCCTACTTTCTAAAACGCGTTTTGGAAAACGGAAAAAAAAATACACTAAAAACTGAAAACGTCCAAAACCACGTTTTCATTGTTTTGAAGCCAAAACACGGTATATTTAGAAAACACGGGAAATGGCTTCTCTGAACTTACCCTATCTCTCTCTCCCCTCTCCCGCAACATAGGTCCTCTGATTTTCCTTTTCCAATCTAACAAACCCATTCCAAACTCACAAAGCCACAATCCAATTGAACTCCCGTTGCTAAATCTGTGGGTTTTCTGCACCGATTTCTGGTCAATGGCATTTTTGTGAAAAAAAAGAGAGGATAAATGCAGCTGATGCGGCTTCCAAAGGATTCATGACGCCGTTTGATTTGAGGCTGAGGAGAGGTGATGTGGCGGCTTTGAATGATAAGAATGGGGTTTTGGAAGTGCGGAGGAAGAAGTTGAGGCTGTTGATGAGTGATTGAAGTTTTTCCAATAAGTCTTTAAACACCCTTTTGTTAGATTGTTACTGTTTTTAATAAACATTTTATGGTGATTATAAGATAATGGCTGTTATTTATTTTTCTTTTTTTAGGGAAAGTTGTCTGTAATTTTGCACATGATAGATAATAGATTACTAACCCCTAAATTGCCAATAATGTGATACATGGTACTCTTGAACTATTAGACATGAAAGTTAGAATGATTGGCATGGAGCAGAATTAAGATATAATAGGGATCAAGGATATGCCGAGATTTGATAAAAAAAAAAATTCCCATAAATTTTTTTTCAAGGAAATTAATCTCAAATTTGCCAAACTACCTTGAATGATGTTTTTGATTAATTTTTGAAAAACCAGCAAACAGATGAATTGAAAACTCAGCAACACAGTCATCCATGGAGAAAGAGGAACTCTGTATTAGTTAGGAATTAATTGTATTTTTTGTTATGTATATGCATTGTGTATATATGTTCTTTTAGAATAGCCTAAAACATTTTATATATTCACCGGTCCTTTGTACAGTTTTTCGCCGTATGTAAAATTAAATACATTTTACTTCATTCTTCTCTCAATCATCAAGCCAATTATTCTCATAATTTGATCTTCATATTCTTGAAAATTGGAAATTGCAGTGGTGAAGTGTATATATGATTTAGACTTTCGATGTTGGTTCTAATTCAAAACTTATATGTTATTTTCAACTATATTAACATTAAACTATTAAAAATTCTTGAATAAAATACGATTAAAAAAATTTCCCAAAATTTTAAAGTAAACGCGTTTTCTGAAGTTGTGTTTTCAAAACCGTTTTCCAAAATAACAAGAAGAACGCATTTTCAGTAATTTCAAAACAGACACTCAAAACACAAAATACAAAACGAATTCAAAACTCAAAACAGAAAACTGAAACACAAAGAGAACGACCCCTAACATTTTGTCACTTTTCTCAAAAAAGTCACAATATCTTATTGGAGTAATTAACTACATACATGCGTATGCCTTTTTAAAAATTTGAATATACAAATTCAAACCTTGTTTTATGTCAATACACATGAAAATGAAAAATTTTAAATTTAAATTAATGCATGCAAAGTGTTTGCTCAAAAGGAGAATGAAAATAGTGACATCTTTTTTTCTTAAAAAAAAAAAGTCAAAGTATCACATTGGAACAATTAACTAGATACATATGTGTGCATTTTTTAAAATTTAAATATACGAATTCCAACATTGTCTTATATTAATACATATGAAAAAATGAAAAAACTTTGAATCAATTAAATTGACACATGTAAGGTGTTTGAGAAAATGATAATATAGAAAAGTAACATTCTTCTTTAAAAAAGTTACAGCATTTCATTGGTGCAATTAACTAGATGCATATGTGTGTGTGTTTTTTTTAAATTTAATATACGAATTCAAATATTATTTTAATCTTATTTTCAATTCAATTGACGGATCCAAGGTATTTGTAAGAATAAAGATTTGGCTTTTCTCTAAAAAAGTGATATTGTGTCACTTTTCTCTGAAAAAATCACAGTATCTCGTTGAAGTAATTAACTAGATATACACGTTTGCATTTTTAGAAATTTAAATATATGAATACAAACCTTGTTTTAATCTTATATTCAATTCATATTTCTTTGAATCAATTCAATTTATGCGTCCAAGATTTTTAAAAAATTGATAATGTATTTTAATCTTATATTCAATTCATATTTCTTTGAATCAATTAAATTGATGCTTCTAAGGTTTTTACAAAAATGAGAATGTGAAAAAGTGAATTTTTGTTACCTTTCTATGAAAAAAGTGACAAAATTATTATTCTTTTCATTTTAATTTATGTTTTGACGTTCCTTCT